GAAGCCTCTGTCCCATGTGAAGATGAAAGATAAAAACAGATTAATTTTTAGAGCAATGATTCTAAATATGGAAGCTAGAAATACTTTGGTACAAAAATATTGATAAATATTATATTTTTTTCTACACCCAAATCTCTATCTGCATATATGGTATATCATCTCTCACAATCCTACCTACCATGTTCTTGATATGAGAAATGCTGGTGATATACATGGACACTCATATTTCATCTAGTTTTCTCTTTCCTCTACCTCCTAAAATACATCATCCATACCCTACTTCTTAGTCACTGTACCCACCAGAATGATCTTCTGTATTCTTCTTCCCAGTCTATTCTCTAGGTGTACTGCACAATAAAACGTGGCAAGTGGCAACATATCGTTATTTAAAATTAAATTCCTTAAAGTTAAATAAAATTTAAAATTCAGTTTCTCAATCACATGTACTGCATTTCAAGTGCTCAACAGACACATGTGGCTATTGACTATGTTTTGAGAGTGGAGATATGAAATACTTCTATCATTACAGAAACTTATATTGGATAATACTACTCTATAGTGAGATTCCATCACTGTGTCTTACTACTCTATAGTGAGATTCCATCACTGTGTCTGTAGATGGAATAACAAAGCCAAGGAGGAAGCTAACTTATACCACTTTTCCTAGAAGAAAGAGTCTAAAAGCAAAATTTCCATTCATTTGGATATGACTCCCAAACTATATCTGTAATCTCGATCTTTTTGTCCTGAATTCCAGAACTATATATCCAACTATCCATTGCAAAATTCTACCTGAATTTTTCATAACATCTCAAATTCTTCCTATCTAAACATAAACACATTATTTTCCACCTAGAAAATCTAATTTCTTTCTATTATTTTCTATGTTGGTGCTCAGTCATCTCTGAAAAAACCTCAAGGTACCTAACTTCGAAATCTCACTCTTCTTTGCCCTATGTTCACTAAGTGCAGTCTTCTATACCATGTAACTCTTTTAACTCAATTGCCAAGTCTAGCTCCATGGCCTCTAGCCATTAATGGCTAGAGTTCGCACCACAGTCCTCCTTTCCAAGTTCTTCTTATCCATCAGACTAATTTTAAATATAACCTTGTTCATTAAAATCTACCCTTAGCACTAAGTATGACAGCATCTGTCACAAAATAGATACTCATTAGTTGTTTTATGAATGAGCCACATCAATACACTGGTTAAAATTTGCCAGTGGTTCAACAAGCCAGCTAAGAAGATGGAACTCTTAAGAAAACTTGTCCAGTTATTTCACATGGGGTGGGGGTGGGGGGTGAGTTTCTAAGAGTGGACAGCAAATCCCTCACCAAAATTGCTACTCCAAAGAAAAGAAAAAAATGGCTCCTAGCCACTTTGACATCCTCTATTAACCCTAAGGACATACTTAACTGTGGTCTCAAAACCTGTGATGGTCTATTGTTGACAAAACTTTATTTATACTCATCATTAAAAAAAAAAGTATTTTTCACCTGTCAAAAAAGTGTGTTATATAATAGTAAATTAACTCTTAATGCCTTCAATCTGTTACTACTTGTCTCTAAAAAAGTGAATCTGCTCCCAACACCCTTCTATGTGGGTCCTGGCAAAAAAATAAAAGGCAAGCATAAAATCATGTAAAGGTCTAGTTTTCACTGCCATGTAAGTTAATGTAAGAAAGATTTAAAGAATTTCAAGGAAAATAAAACATAGCCTTTTAATTATTGCAACATGATTTCATTTTAACTCCTCTAGGGGTCTTTTACTAATAGACTAATATTAGCTCCAATTAAAATAAAATCTTTCAAAAGCAAGTGTTTAATTTCTGAAGTACAGATGGAAACTACTAGTTTTTCACTCTAACAGTATAAATGAACTATTCGAAGTTAATATGTAATACATTTCTCATTTCATTAGCCTAAACATCAGCTGTGGATGTGCTTTACTTATACTATGGACATATGGTTCCTTGGATGAGAGCAGGAGTGATTTTTTTAAATGTTTTCAAGAAAATACAAAGTGGCTATAATTAAGTAGTCAGTTAATGACAATTTAGAAGGAATAACAAATTAACAAACTTATCTTGAATCCATAATTTTCCTAAATTTCAAAAAAATAAGGTTTACGCATAATATACTATCATATTATACACCATTGATCCAAAAGGGGAATGTCTTAAACAAATGCACTCTAATCAATTGAAATACCAGTAGGATAAACTGTTCTGAACTTTGGTGTGTAGATTTATTAAACAAAGGTAGCCTTTGGGTCAATACCTTGTCAGCTTCAAATTTAAACCATCTTGTCTATTTTATACTGCCAAATTGAAGCCAGTTCTGAATTCTTTAGAGGTCTGTACTTTGTCTGTTGACTTTATTCAGAATAATTGCTAATATTCACTGAGTGCTCACTAACTTTGGCACTGTGCTAAGCATTTTAATACATTTTCTCATTTAATCCTTACAGTTGCTCTTTGAGGCCGGAAATATCACAACCTGATTTTACAGATGAAGAAACTGAGGATACACAGCTAATAATTAAGATACCAGAGCCTGCTCTCTGAACCCCGAAGCTACACTGCCTTTTTTTGATAAGTAAAATCCTTGGGGCTTTTGAATTTCAGTGTTCCTGGGGAAATTAATGTTAATTGTCTGGCAATGAGGTTAACAAATCTATAGGGCAAACTTCTTGTAGGTCTTGACTCTCTCTCTGGTAGTAATCCAAGAATATTTTATTCTTAATCCTTGCTAAATTTATTATGTGTCTTTGAAAGTAGGTGCATAATTATTGGATTAAATAGGTCAGAAAATAATTCAGGCTTGTTACAGGTAATCATCTCAAATATTGTTACTAATATATGTTTTCTATCATAAATAAAATCCAGATTAAAATATTTCTAACTATATTATTATCTTTGAAAAGTACTAATGACAGAGGAATTTGGCTTTGAAAATTAACACGATCCTGTCATCATTTCTTTACATTATGCTTAGTAAGTGGGAAGGAATAACAGCTGAAAGTGAAATTAAGCATATGCATGACTTCTATAAATACCTCCTACACTTCATTTTTAAAAATTATTGAAAAAACATTGATTAACATGGTTCATTTTTTTTAATATCTAGGAAACCAATATTATGTATAAGAAATTTGTCTGATGACTCATGGATTATACATCATAAAATTCAATGACTGTTGAGAATTTTGCCATTTTTCAAATGAAAGAATGAAAAATTTGAGTGAGTGCTTTATGAAACATTACAAAGTTAACAAGAGCAGTACTTCCAACCTCATCATTTTACTCTACACCAACTTTTCAAACATCTGAAATATGTCCAAGAAAATAAAAACTAAAAAATAAAATGACAAAGAGAAAAGACTTTGTTGTGGCTTCTCGATACTGATAAATGTTTTCCCTCTGGCAGAAATCTTTTCTCTGTGTATGAAATTCTGGGTCACTTAATTAGCCTGAGTCTCCAGCTTTGGGTCTCTCCGGTGACTTAGAGACAGTTCTTTTACCTGGAGCAAAAAATTTTAAATCTTGTTGTTTCTAAATAATGTTAATAAAGAATATTACATGATTCAAATGTTTTAGAATCTTATCAATGACTGCTTAATATGACAAGGATGTAGTTCTTTCACACTTTTCCTCACATCATCTTCAAATTTGTTTATGTCGCAACAACTAGTTAAATGATCATGACTATTTAAGTATTTAAAGTTGGATGTGGACCAAGTAATGTTCTATAATGACAATTGCTCCCTTAAGCACCACTGGGTTTTAGTGTAGTGAATAAATTTCCTCTTTAAAAAAATTTTTTTTGGTTAATTTTCTTTGTATTTTTCAGTATAAATTCTTAAACATTTTAAAATTACCAATGTAAATTCCTGCACTATCAAACTTCTCAAAACCCGGCA